CTGCAAATAAAAGAAAATCAATCTTTAATTAACTAACCCGACAACATTTGTGATTTGGCTGGTTACCTATGAAAACCACATCTAGAAGCAACCTTAGTGTTGCTGTACCATTCCTAGCTAGCATTTTGTGATAAAATTAAGTTCAGAGTTGCTGTGCTACTAATCGAGTATAGACATCTGAGAGAAATTAAAGGGAAAGAAAAACATATATTGACAATGGCCTAAATTTAATGAGAAGCAAGCTTAAAATTCAACTTAAAACTGATCTTGGTGGCTGATTGCTAATACTTCCAGCTCCATATGTTTCGGTGGGAGTAAGCAAGCGTCCTGCATTTCGGCTAGGTTCGAGTGTCGTCTTTCAGACCTATTGATTCCTTCTCCAGAATACCAAACATCAGCTGTGTTGGGTGTTATTGCTGGTGGTTGCGACCCTTTAGTGGCTCTGGCTCCAGGTGGTTCGTTTCCGATACCACCTTGCTCATTTCCAACTCTAGCTCGTTCGTTTTCATCACGATGTGCACTCTTGTTGTGACCCTCTCCACCACATTGACTGCAATGAATTTTTCTCTTTTTCTTATTCATTCTTTGATTGTTGGGCTTCTGCTTTCTTGGTCGCTTCTATTGGCCTTCCAATATCTCCTCTGGACCTTTTCTCCTATTCATCCTACGTCTCCCTCTTGTTACCTTAGTATTAATGCTAACATAGGGTGGTATTACAGGGTCTTGGTTGCTGTCTCTCCATGATTCGGCCCCAACCATAGATGCCAATGTATACTTATAAATACTAACATAGGTGGCCACTTCATAACACTTATCAACATATGGTTCAACCTTCTCCCTCTTTTAAAATATGCAGCAAACAGCAAGAGCACATGGTATTCCAGTCAACTCCCATTTCCTACATGTGCAGCTACATTTGTTCAAGTCTACAACCACTTGTCCTTCAAGACATCGAACCTGGAATGTGTTAGAACCATTGGGTAGAGCTCTACAACCAAAGCTACCCTCCTTAGCCTCATTTATCTTCTTCAGAATTTTTGGGCAGAATTCTCCTTTGAAATTATTCTCAGCAAATGCCTTTTTCTTTGCAAACCTAACCATCAGTTAGCACCTAATAGTCTCAAACATACTAATGATTGGTTTGCCTCTAGCACCTAATATGGACCTATTCCAGGATTCACAATGGTTGTTCAACAACACATCGGTCATGGAATTAGTTCCAAAGTATGCTCGACACCACTGATTCAAAGGTTTTTCCAACAATCACTCACATGCATCTTCATTGTACTCCCTAAGTTCTCCCACTGTTCTTTTGAACTCAGCCTCATGTGTTGACCTAGCAATTGCCCATAACATGTCTTTTGTGGTTTTGTTACCTGATTGAGCTCGTTGGAGGTTAGACCAAAGGTGTCTAACGCAGAACCGTTGCTCTGCATATGGTACCAGTTGTATGAGAGCATTAACCAAACCCTGCATCAGATTTATAAAAACAAAATTCAGATTTTGTTATAATATGTACAGTATGATTTTGAATTATAAAATTCATAAATAAATCCTAGAAGCTCGAAACTTTGCTAGGCAAGGTTAGGAACCATATAACGTACAGAAGTAAAACCAAAATCATTTTGTCCATACTTTGTAGGCCATTTATATCATCCTAATTAGAAAGAAGATGTGGGTCCCTAGGAATATCAATCTAATGCATTACATAATCAAATTCGAATGTCCAAACTTGGTGATTACCTTTTGTTTATCGCACATGAATGTCCACTCGTCAGAAACTTCAGGAACTTGTAAGTCTTGGAGTACATGAGCCAAAAACCATGTCCAGTTCACTTGGTTCTCTACCCCCACCAAAGCATAAGCTATAGGAAAAATTCCATCATTGGCATCAATGCCAACAGCAGAAAGTAGTTGTCCTCCATAAAGTGTCTTCAAAAAGCAACCGTCGAGAAAGATGATCTTCCTACAACCGGATGCAAACCCTTCTTTACAAGCAGCCAAACAATAGTACATTCTCAAAAAATGGTTATCCTCAGTCTCCACAAGCATAGTTGAGCCATGATGGGTTCGAAGCACCTCTGCACAGTAGTCATGAAGTCATGCATATTGATCTTCTGCTTTCCTCATATCAAATCCACTACATACTCACGAGCCCTTCTTGTTGTCCATCTTGACACAGTATAATGAAAGTCTTCTTCCACCGTCTGCATTATCGAATCATTCCCCCATTTAGGATCAATTTTAAATCTAAGCACGTACTTCTTGGCAATGAATTTTTAAGTAAACCACTTGTGCCGAGATAGCAGAACACATCCATTATGTTCCAGTTGAGCTGTCTTAATGTGAACTTTCTTCCCATCCGATGAAGGTGATTCCCAAATATTCCAATCGCAGTTCTTGTCACAGAAAACTTGAACTCTTGTTGGGTCACTGTGGACAAATCTCAAAGGAAACTTATATTTTATCCATTAAGCTCTAATAGCATCCTTGAATGTATTCAAGTCCCTAAAGATTAGCCCCACGGAAAATTGAGGATTTTCCATATCCCGTGCTGGATTAAACTCTTCAAACTTATTTCTCGTGTAACTTTCGTCATCACTCGAGTGACAGCTGCCCATGTCATCTGAATCACCGCAATCTGTGTCGGCATTTCCACCAATATCATCATCAATAATTAAATTATTATTGTCCCCTCCACCTTCAAAATCAAAGTCTTCATCACTAAGTTCATTTTCGTCATCATTGAACCCACTTTTAGCTTCGGACTCACCTTCTGCTTCTCCAAATAGTAGCTTTAATAAGTAACATGAGAAGTAAATATACTGCAAATATATCAAGGTAATGCATAAATTGGGATGGACCACATATCCTACATAATATAAGAACACTAACAAACAAAAAGATTTAAATTGGGATGGACCACATACCCTACATAATATAGGGACCTCTCCACCTTACATAAACAAACAAAGAAACAAAATAATAATAAAACAATAGCTACCATTCATGCAACCCTTGCATAGTTGCATGCAGTGGCGGAGGGAGGTAAGGAGGAGAGGGGTCCTAGGACCCCACTTGGCAAACAATTGAGCAACAAAACCCTTTAAATACATAGGTTTTAGTACGATAATTCAAGTTTAGGACCTCATACTCTCAACGATGTTAGCTCACCAAGGACCCCGGTTAACTCAAAATTCATTAGATACATAAGCATTAGTGTTAGTAAATTTTAAAAGACCCCAGTACACTCAATGTCTGGCTACGCCACTGGTTGCATGCACCACCAAAAAGAGGCAAAGTACCTCATCACTTAAACCTAAACTCTATAATTGAAGTTCAAAAAACAATATGGAGCTGGGAAAGAAAGAACCCTCACCGTAGATAAGTAGAGAATCAACACCTCCCAACATTCTTAGAATTAGATAAAGCTTTATAATAAGAAAGCAACATTAGTGATGTACGCAGCACAAGGAACAAATACAGTAATATATGGACGAAAGGTTGCGATTCCATACCTGCACAAAGATTGGCAGCTTTGGTGAGTAAAGAATGGCCAGTTGTCGACTGCGCCGTCGACTCCCACCTCACGGCAATAGTCGTCTTCCCATGAATCGTCTACTCTGTAGACTCTATGCCGTTAATTCTCTTCGAGTTCACTGCCGGTCCAATTAATCGAGATGCAATTTTGCTGGGGAGATGAAGAGTTCGACTAGGGATAGATGAATAAGTATTGTTTGAGGGGAGAGGGGTTTGAGATTAGTTTTTTTTTTCTTTTGGGAGGAGGGATGGAGAAACTCAAGGGTGATTGGGCAAATAAGGTAAGTGATTCAGCAGCCTACGTGGCTTGATCAATGCTGAGTTGGCTATTTTTTTTTCCTCCGTTAGTAAAATGGATGGAAAAACGAAAGGATGCAGATTTGATTGAGTTACATGGTATCTGACGCCCTAAATTCACTTTAGTGGTATCCTTACCACAATTCTCAAAGTTTGATAGTATGGGCTACATTTCTCTCTGAAGAAGTACAATTTCGATCCCGATTACAAGTTCCTGTTCGATTCCACCGCGCCCCGCGGATCTGTTCGCCGATTTGCTGTGTTTACCCATAATAATTTACCTTGTACCACATCGGTTAAAAACAAGAAATTAAATAGCTTTATAAGGCCAACTTAATTATAACAATTAAAATCAATTAAGATGGTCACGGGGATTGGATTTTTGGGCCCATGGCACCCATGCCAAAGCCACTCCACGCGCCACCCTTGCCATCAATTCCCAAATTTGGCTAAATGTTGGAGCCACCCCAGGACATGGAAAAGGGGGTGAGCACGCCACCCCCATGACGTGGTGATGGCCGAATTTGGCTAAGGCAAGGAGTATGGGAGCCACCCCCAGGACGTGGTAAGGGGGGTAGGGACGGCAATGGGTCGAGTTGGGGCGGATTTTGCCAAACCCGAACCCAAACCCATGGGTTTGTTCGTAAAAAAAAACCCCGTGGTAAAACCCGCTGAGTTTGAAAAACTCAAACCCAACCTAACCCGCTGGGTATCCGCGGGTTGATGGGTACCCGTGGGTTTTTTTGGTAAAATATTTATAAAATAATAATTAACAAGATACTATCAAAATAAAAATCAAGCATAAATCTCACCATACAAAATACCAAATCTCTTACCTAATAGCTCTCTAACAATATATCTATCTCTCATCCACTTAACATCTTCCAAAGTGATGCAAAGAATCATGCGGACCACAAATATAATCACTATATTCAATCCAAATTAATTAACATTCACAGCAACTACTTAATATCACAATAACAATTACTTCTCATCTCTTTGTGTTTCACTTTTTCTATTCTTGTATCGATTACAAATGAAGATTATACATACAAATGAAGATTAAACATACATCTCTTTTTGTTTCACATTTTCTATTCTTGATTGCTTGCTGCCAATAAAAATGAAGATTATACATACATCATACAAACGAAATCCCAAATATCTTACCTTACCCAACGAGCAGAAGTGGGTGACTCCCTTTCCCCGACTTGAGCTGTGACAGCTCGTTCAACGGGAGGCGGAGCCGCGAAGGAGCAGGGGGAGGGCGGGAAAGTCGACCATCGAACGGTGGCGGAGCAGAGGAGCAGGGAGAGCCGGAGAGGGCGTGGCCGGTAATGGAGTCGGAGAGGCGGAGCCATAGCAAAGGAAGAGCAGGGTGAGGGCGCGGGATGGAAATCAGGTGTAACGGGCGGTGGTTGTCGGGAATGGAGGCGGAAACACCGTCGTTGAGTAGAGAATGGAAATCGGGACTCCAGAGAGGGTTTCGGTGGTGGCGGGGCGGCCGTCGGATTGGAATCGGGAGTAGGGACGGGAGGTGGAGACTGGAGAACTGGGGTAATTTGTGTGATCGTGTCTCTAGGGAAGAGGAGTCGCGAGTCAGAGAGGAAGGGGAGTCGCGACTCGCGAGTCAGAGAGGAAGAGAAGTCAGATTGGCGGCGGGGTTTTTGTGATTGTGTCTCTGGGGAGTGGCGGGGACTGGGATAATTTAGGTTTAGGAATTATGATGTATGTCCCGTTATCCACGGGTCGGGTTCCCCCAAAACCGAACCCGCCCCAACCCTCCCAAACAGCCACCGGGTTTAAACCCGAACCCGACCCAAACTCGGTCAACGCGGGTTTTATCTGGTTTGACCGGGTTGGGTCGGGTCGGGTACCCGTGGGTCCGGGTTGAACTGCCAACCCTAAAGGGGGTGAGCATCATACCACCACCCCCAGGACGTGGCAAGGGAGAGTATTTTTTTTTTGCCATTTTTAATTCATGTGATTTAAATACTCACCCATATGTGGTACGTGGTATTCCTTCTTGCCTTAGCCATTTTTACTCTATGGATAAGCAAAACTACGAAGGAAATGCCAAGAGCATAGATTGAGGTCTTAAGAGGAGGGGGTCAAGACTGAAGAGGATCCCACTTTCAACATCAGGGTAACCGTCATAGCAGTTGAGAGGGTAACCGTCACTCCACATCAACAGAGCAGTTTCTTGGGGCAGTTACTTCTGATGGCTATAAATAGCAGGTGAAGATGACAGAGAAGGGGTTCGCAAAAATCACAACTCGACACCACTTGTCAAGTTTTATCTTTTTCTCTTTTCCTCTGCAGATTTTAGCCATAGTCGTAGTTTTTGGAGCTCTCACTGAACCTCCATAGGAGTAGGGCTAATTTAATGTACATTTTCCTCGTAGTTAATCAAAACATTGAACATCCTTGTTTGAACTTTGTTCAAAGAGGTGTGAATTGTGTTGTTTGATCGTTTGTTTGGTAGTCAAAGGTGCAAAATCCAATTCTATTCATCTAGATTTTCTCGCCGGTAAATTACACATGTTTGATAGACCATTAATTACACATGTTTTTACCCCTATTCTTGAGCCATTTGAGACGTTGATTCTCGTGTTTTAAGCCGATTTCACGCTAGGTTGTGCGTTTATGTCTTTTCAGGGCTTAGCGTTGGCATCGAGGCGAAGGAACGAGTTTCGGGTCGAAAGGAGCATGTGAGGTTTGAAGTGTGCTGGAGAGCAAAAATACCCGGCCATGAGCAGAAATACCCGGCCGGGTATTATTTGGCGATGACCGGGGATTTGATGCTTCGGGCGTCTTTGAGAAGCAGAAGGGGGCAAAAATCCCCGGTCGGGGATTCTTGGCCATGACCCGGGATTTCCCCCTGTAACCCGACGGTGCGTTTTGAACATACCCGGTCGCCACCCAAAATACCCGACCGGGTATTTGGGCCGGGGATCGCGAGAGACAACTTCTTAAGGGAAAAGAAGGCCAAAGGTGAAGGGTTCGGAGTTTTGGAGAAAGAAAGCGATTCCTAGAGACAGAAAGTGACGAACCAGAGTTCCCAAGTGCCCTAGCTTGATCTTCATCACCATTGGAGCTCGGCTCACACTTGGAGAAGTGCCGATTGACGACCAGGAGCAGAAACCCATCCTTCACAGCATGATTTCTGCATGTGAGCTTGCTTTTGCTTCTCTCTCCATGGAGTAACTTCCTCATTCATCTGGGTATGGAGAACCCTAGATTTGTATGTTAGGTCTGATTGTATGAACCCAAGTACAGATTCTATGATTTGATTATATTCAATTGAGGTTTGAATTGTTGAATGGCATGAATCCTGATCAAATTCCTATTATTTCTGCTTTGACCTAGAAAGAGAATATCTACCTAGGTTGATAGAGTACCCTTAATTGAAGGTGGTGAATTGGCGACTTTAGTCGAGGAGCCAATTCACTATTCTATACCGGAGTTACTTCGGTAGTGGAGGTTTTGTTCGTTAGGGCCTCAATCTGTTTACTCCGGTGGAGGTTAGTCGCCCGCTGGAGACTCAGATTGAGAGGGTCTGGAGACCTTTAGTCGAGACTTCAGACTGTTTAAGAACCTCCCGCAGTGTAACTATCATTAAAACTGAACTTGGTAAATTGCAATCCGGCTTAACTGCAGTCTAGGGGGAACCATATCCGGGTGACCTCTCTCAACTTGAAAACAACCTTCTTGCTTGCTTTGCTTGTTTGCTTATTTGAACCTGCACTAAAGTTTCACCGCTAAATAATAAGAATTCACTGAGCAGTCATCACATCTAGGACCCGGGTTGACATTAAAACTCAAACATGCTATACTACGCTTTAGGAAGTGGTTACACTTGGCCATTTTCTAGAGTGACAGTAGGAGTGAGTCAAGTTTTTGGCGCCGTTGCCGGGGACGTCTAGGTTTTTAAAAAAATGTGAATTCTGTTAATTTAGCTTTTTGTTTTAGCGTTGTTTGCTTTGTCACACTTGTGCCTTCACGGGTTTGCTTGCTTGACTGTGTGTAGGTAGTGCATGACTCGTAGCTAGTCGGGAGGTTTACTGGCGTTGGATCCTGAGCTTGAACGCACCTGTCGCCAACTCAAGAGACAACAGCGAGCTAGACTGGCTACGGCGGATCGCATAGTGATAAACCGTTAATTGCACATGTTTTTATCCCTATTCTTGAGCCGTTTGAGATGTTGATTCTCGTGTTTTAGGCCGATTTCACACTAGGTTGTGCTTGTTTGTGATATTTCAGGTCCTAGTACGTGAATGAAGGTTTGAGAGCGAGTTCGGGGTCGATTGGACGAAGATCGGACGTGTGGCGAGTCGCTGAGGAAGCCACACGGGCACTCATAAAACCCACACGGCCGTGTAAGGAACCAATGTGGCCGTGTGGGATTTAGCGAGGCTTCACACGGGCATGCTGGAGATTCCACACGGCCGTGTGTCCCTGGCCATGTAGGTAGTCTGAAGTCCAATTAATCGAAACTCGGCGTTTTGACTCTCACACGGGCATCTGGGTAAGCCACACGGCCGTGTGGCCTGCCCGTATGAGTCGTGAATTCTAGTTTTTACCCAATTTTGAGCCACAAGTGAGGGAATCGACTTTGGAGAGCAAAAACAGAGCCCTAAAGAGAGAAAGTGCGAAGAACACATCCTAGAAGCGATCTTAGAGCTGGGTTTCATCAAATCGAGATTGGAGATCATCATAGGAGTGAAAATCATCATCCCAGAGCATATTTTCATCATCTTTATGAGTATGACTACTCTGATTTCTGTTTTCCTCTCTCTCTGTGGAGTGGAACCCTTCTCTCACTTGGGTATGAAGAACCCTAGTTCCATGCGTTAGGGATCATGATTGTAATGACTTGAGATGATTATAGTGTTTGGTTTTAATCGAATGATGCATGTTTCATTGAATTAATTGAAGTCCGATCATATTTTCTTGATTTCTGCTGCAACCTGAGATAGATAGAATCTAATTAGGTTGTTAGAGCTTCTTCATTCGGTAGTAGTAGATTGGCTATACGAGAGTTAGTCCGTCTACTGCTTTGTACTGGAATCCAATTCCAGTAGTGGAGTTCTGTGCTTATTGCTTCAGCTTTCTATCCCGGTGAAGACTAGTCGTCTGCCGGGTAGTTAGACTGAGAGGGCTTGGTCAGCTTAAGAGATTCCAAGCTACTGTCGGATCTTCGGCAGTTTAATCAACAGTGAATCAACCCAGGGTAATTACAACTGAGACCTAACTAAGGAGCTAGGGGGACTCATTCCCGAGTGACTCTTCTTTTGCTTGAGAAAACCAAACCAATTCCTGCTTTCTTTCTGCTTTCAGTTAAGACCATAATCAATCGACTTAGTTTGCTAGATAATAGATAATCACGGAGTAGGCAGTAGATCTAGACCCCGGGTTGATATTTAGAACTTGCCATTTTACTGCATTCCTGGACTGCGATTACACTTGGTCGCAGTTTGGTGTTGTGTTGTGGCGTGTCATCGGCCCACCTAGAGACGTAGTCAACAGCAACCAAGATATAGGTATTACCAAAAGATGGAGGGAAGGGGCCTATGAAGTCGATACCCAAGACATCAAAATCTCACAAATTATAAACACATTCTGGGGCATCTCATCATGGGCAGAGAAGTTACCTAACCTCTGGCATCGTTCGTACCTGCGTGCGAAGGTGTCTGCGTCCTTGAAGAGCGTGGGCCAGTAAAAGCCCGATTGTAGCACCTTCCTCGCCGTGCGGTTTCCTTCATGGTGACCGCCAGTAGGTCCTTCATGATAGTGAGATAGAATGCCCTCCATCTCACTCTCCATAACACAGCGACAGATGATCCCGTCGGCTCCGATCCTAAAGAGATGAGGATCATCCCAGAAGTAATGCTTCAGGTCGGAGAAGAATTTCCTTTTTGTGTGAGTTGTCATCCCCTTGGGCAGCTGCTGGCCCACCAGATAGTTCGCAAAATCGGAGTACCAAGGGGTGACACTCTCCACCAAGTACATCATCATCAGTCTCTCATCCGGGAAGGAGTCGTTGATCTCCTCCTCGAGGTTGTCCGCAGGAGGTGCGTCCATACGGGAGAGGTGATCGGTTGCAACATTCTCCGCTCCCTTCTTGTCCCGAATCTCAATGTCGAACTCCTGCAATAGTAAGATCCATCGTATGAGCCTAGGCTTGGCATCAGCCTTGCTCATCAGGTATCGAATCGCAGAGTGATCTGTATAAACGGTCACATGGGACAAGACCAGATAAGGACGAAATTTGTCAAAGGCAAACACCACCGCGAGCAGCTCCTTCTATGTGGTGGTGTAGTTTTCCAGGGCATCATTTAGGGTCTTCGAGGCGAAGTAGATAGATCGGAAGTGTTGATCTCGCCTCTGCCCCAAGACAGCTCCAACAGCAAAGTCACTGGCATTGCACATAAGCTCAAATGGTAGGGACCAGTCAGGAACAACCATGATAGGAGCTTGGGTGAGCTCTCCTTCAAGGTCGTAAATGCCACTATGCATGCATCAGTGAAGTGGAAGGGGGCTGACACGCTAAAACACAACACTTAACAATGGCCAAGTGTAACCAATGAAAGGGACTGTAGTATAGTGGCACAAGTAATAAATATCGAATCCACGGGTCTCTAGAGTTACTATTACTCAGCTTCAGTTCATTATCTAGCAAACTAGATTAAGGATTGATTTGTAAACTACTCTACTGACAACTCTACTAATTACAAGTTGGGAACTCACTTAGGTATGATTCCCCCTATCTCCTCAATTAGGTCCAAGTTGCAATTACCTTTGGTTGATCTACTGTTGATTAAACTGCGAAAGATCTTAAATTAGCTTGGAATCTCTTAAGCTGACCAAGCCCTCTTAGACAGAATACCCGGCAGGCGACTAGCCTTCACCGGGATAGACAGCTAAGGCGATTCACACAGATCTCCACTACTGGAATGAATTCCAGTACAAAGCAGTGAATTGATTGACTCTCGCACAACCAATTCACCACTATCAATCAAGGAAGCTCTCTTAACCTAACCAGATTCTATCTATCAAAGGTTAAAGCAGAAATCAAGAGAAGATGATCAGGCTTCAATTGATTCTATAAATCATGCCTCAATCGATTATAATCAAACAATATAGCATCCAAAACTTCATACAAGAAAGATCCTAACACATGGAACTAGAGGGGTCGTTTGCTTCATGGATTTATAAACGAGGGTTTTGTAATTTAAAAACCCAAGGATTTATCAAGGATTTGAGGCATCATGGATTTGTAACAATCCTTTGTTTGTTGGGATGTTTTTATCATGGATTTAAAGGTGTGGGATTTACTACTTGAAGTCAAAAATTACATTACTGCCATTTTCTATATGTTTGACATGTTTATGATATGTACACAAAACAAGGACAAAACTTCAAAATTACCTTACTATCATTTTCTATATGTTTGACATGTTTATATATGTACACAAAACAAGGACAATACATACTAATAAGCATAATGTTGCCACATGGACAATAATAATAAACGAGAACATTCCGTTTTAACTTTTAACGTAACATAATCAATTACCAATTCTTTGTCATCCTTTTCAAAAGTAACATATAACAACATATATTAGAATCGGGAGAACAAAGAATTACACGTTCCATGAAAAGGTCAAAGAAAACTAGAACACAAGAAATGATATAAAAAATTTAACTCATGTTTGCACATTAATTGAACGTTTATATTATTCATTTATTTTTAATTATAATGTATAATAGTTAAATTTGAGGGCAACCTTGGAATATTAAAATTGCATTAGGGTATATGGGTAAAATGTCATCAAGGATTTATGCCATACTCCAAATCCCACATCAACATGTGGGATTTATAAGTCCGTGGGGTCCACGTATTTGGACCCTTAAAATCCGTGGGCCCCACGGATTTGGTCTCCCAAAAAGGTGCAAGCAAACAACGGATTGTACCTAAATCCTTGATAGTTGGTTTTTTTGTACCAAATCCATGTACAAAATCCTTGAAGCAAACGACCCCAGAGTTCCTCAAAACCTAAGTGAAGGGAAGTTACTCCATAGAGAAGAGAGAGACTGCAGAAATCTGAACTAGATATTCAATCTCCATCTCCAAGCTTGATTCCTGAGCTCCAATGGCGAAGAAATCCTCCAAAATAGCTCCAAGAATGTTCCCAAGTCGCTCTCTCTCTCTCTCTAGGGTTCGTCCCTTGGGTGTTTGGGATCCAAAAACCCAGCTCTCCCCTTTCCTTTTGCTGAAAATCGGGTTTTAACCAGAAATTCCCAATCACACGGCCAGGCCACACGGCCAGGTGACTTTTCCAGATGCCCGTGTGAGGGCTCGGTGATTTCCACACGGCCACACGGCCAGTTCACACGGCCGTGTGGGTCGTGCCCGTGTGGCTTGCTCATCCTCTGTTTAATGGTTTGTTTCTCCCTCGTCCGGACTCCGAATCAGTCGCCGTTTGATCCCAGACGCTCGTAGTCTCATCATCTTTCTTTTCATGACAAAATTCCATGATTATTTGTCCTTAATGAGGTAGAAGTCCATTATTCCTCAGGTCATGCTCGTGTTTCTTCTCCCGAATTGCCGAATGATCTCCGATTGACTTCAAACTTGCGCCTATGCTTCAATTTACATGCTAGGACCTGAAATGTGACAAAGGAACACAACCTAGCATAAAATAGTCCTAGAAAGCAGAAACTCAAGCCAAAATGATCAAGAAACGAGGGTGCAAACATGTGCAAATCCTATGTTATCAAACTCCCCCAGACTTAACCGTTTGCTTGTCCCCAAGCAAACCAAGTCAGACACAAGGTAAGCTCGAAACATCTCAATCATGAAACCTTTGGGGACATATCACATAGGCACGAAACATGGGAATCACACTGGCTTTCAAACATCAACACATGAACAACTTCAACCGCAACCTGGACAACCACCACAGAGGACATTCGAGTGCAGCAAAATCGAGTAAAGGAGGAGTCTCCCTTCTGTTCACCAACCAACCTAGACTTGACTCAACCACTTACTCAAGACAGTCATCTCATGCACAAAAATCAAGATATCAGAATAGAGACCGAGCAATCTAGGTCCTCACCGGGGTACAAGAGTATAGAGAATATGAGAAAATGAATCGCTCACTCTCGACCAGTGGGGTCAGGACAATTCGATGCAAAAAATGAGTGTCATCACTATCCAATCCGGAGGTCTTAGACACAGGTTCAAATGACTGGCTAGGGTCTTGGACATGGGGAAAAGGCCTTTTAGGTGGTGGAAGTATTCATAGCACAAGGTTCCACATTTCCAGACCCAACAAACTCACAGTCAATCAAACCAATAACTTTCTTTCTGCTATTCTGCATTACTCAAATTCTTCAGAGCACAAGAGCGAAGGAGGTCACATAAATGTTAGTATTTCTAAGCCAGACTGCTAAGAAACACTACTTAATGGGCACTATTTAGATTTTTGGTGGTGGCTCTCTTTTGCTTTTATTGTTTTCTTTGTTTTTCTTTCATTTTTTCCATTTCTTAAGAGAACCACCACCTCTGCACATTTTTCAAACACCTGCCCAACTTTTTAAGAACTACCTCCAACCCTCACATTATATTTAGCAGAAACAGCAGAGAACATGTAAAAACCATTCTGTGGAACCTTCTAAAAGATGCAAAAGGGTGATTTTTCATTGTAGACTGAAAGAAAGGATAACACACAGCTCAAAGGGGCTGACTAGAGGAGATGACACATCAGGACAGTCAATTTGGTCGTGGGCTGATCCTATGCCTCCATCATCTTAGCTAATGACAACGTGAATGCTACACATCATGGAAGAGGGAACTATCGCACAAGAAAGAAACGAGCAGGCTCAAATCTCACATGGCTACCTATATGCTCTATCTCTCATTCTGATTCCATGAACTAGATGCATAACCGACTGTCAAGAACAAGTGATCAATCCAAGTCACAGTTGGTAAGCAAATAGTTGAAAAACCAAACCCCTACACAATTCTACTGCATGTCTCAGTCATCATTATAGGTTGTCCTAGTCACACCTCAGTTGTCATGCATTAAGTCAAAAGCCATTCAATTCACCAATTAAAACCACAGTGCCAATATGATCAAGCAAACAACAGTACTTGGAGCCCTCAAATCTCAAATTTGGACAGTGGGCTAGGCTCCAAGCACACAAACCGCCAAACATTCACCCGCATACATAATCAAACATCCCCCCCACACTTAAGCACGACATTGTCCTCAATGGAGGAAAGATAAGGAGGGTAGAACGAAGTTACCAGATCAAGGGTGAATGATGATGGACGGGGCAGGCGGTGCATTCCAGGAAGAGAGAGTAATTAGAACACAAAAACCACACAAAATCTCACAAAGGTTGAGTTATTGACTCTAAAATCAAATAACAAAACTGACTCAACCGAGGAGAAATAGAGAAAGAAATTCAAACCGACTGGTTGGGTTGCCTCCCAACAAGCGCTTCTTTCACGTCGTGAGCCGGACGATGGCTCCTAAGTTTCGATCCATGCTAGAACTTCCTTGAAGTTGAGGTTCTCGTAAATGAGGTGGAGTCGCAAGTCACGAGCATGTGGTATGACTGGTGATGGAAGCTCGTGCACTTGATGTAGATGAAGTCTCCATCCTCGAGACCTCTTCTTCTCTTCTCTCGTCCCATTGCCCCAAACCAGATATGACAGCATCGATTGGCCACCATTGCGTCCACCAAGAGGGACCGATGTCGATGTGGCCTTGGTCTGGCAAAGAGACACTGCAAATGGGTCCTTGCTAAGCAGTTCCTCGAAGTTTGGTGGGGATATTACTTGTATTATAGGGCCGGTGCAAGCCTCTTCCACCTCAACTTCATCCTCAGCCTGGACACCACTCGCTTCTTCAACCCCCCTTCCTTCTTCAAAATGTGGTCTCTCTCCTCAGAAAAGATCAAGAACTACCTCTTCTTTGCTTTCTTCCTCATCCTCCACAACTTCTTCCTGACCCTTTCTCTCTCTTCTTCTTCCATAACTAATTGGAGGGCAAGTCGCCATGCAAGGTTCTCAATAAGTTCAGCTTGCATCTCCTCGCTCGGGCCCAGCATGTTAGAGCTGAAATGGGGAAAGTTGTGATCTACCACCAGAGGATACACTTGATCATGATTATCATGGGAGCTTTCCTTGACAACTTCTGTATGCTCCTCAACATCCTCATGATTGCCTTCTTCTTCCTCCACCTCTACTTGTATGGCAGCATAAAGGTTGTCTTGAGAAAACTGTGAACAGGCTTTCTCAATGACCTCTATGTGCTCCTTTATGCTCCGAAGGGTATCCTCTGTTTCACGGGGAAATGAGAAGTCAGTTTGGGCAATGGCCTGGATATGAGGATCCATCTCGGGAAAGGATCTCTCAGGTACTCGAGCAATCTGCTCCACGAGAAGCCTCAAGTGATAGTTTGGATCTGGCTGTGGAGTGAAGCATGGCTCTGGATCGTCCGTGAAGACTGTGGCAAACCCAAGATCTGATGGTCCTTCTTGTTGTGGGAGGAATTCTTCTTGATAAGGAGATTGTTCTTGAAATACCCAGGGGTCTGATTGTTCTTCGTAGTAGGGGGTTGGTACTGAAACCTGACTCCATAGTCTTCTCCTCCTTGGTTACTCCAGGGAGTCTCAGGGTAATACCACTCGGATGGTGGTGGATACCCCCAATGGTTGGAGAAGCCATTAGGATGCATGATTCAGATCTGCACCAACAAAACAAAACAAAAACACCCAAGTGAAAAGTAAGGGTGAAAAAAAAATGCTAAAGTAACAAACTTCTGCCTTTCCTAATAATCTAGAAAGTCCCCGGCAACGGCGCCAAAAACTTGACACACTAAAACACAACACCTAACAATGGCCAAGTGTAACCAATGAAAAGGACGAAATTTGTCGAAGGCAAACACCACCGCGAGCAGCTCCTTCTATGTGGTGGTGTAGTTTTCCAGGGCATCATTTAGGGTCTTCGAGGCGAAGTAGATAGATCGGAAGTGTTGATCTCGCCTCTGCCCCAAGACAGCTCCAACAGCAAAGTCACTGGCATTGCACATAAGCTCAAATGGTAGGGACCAGTCAGGAACAACCATGATAGGAGCTTGGGTGAGCTCTCCTTCAAGGTCGTAAATG